ATGTTCATCGGAATAAGTTCGTTACCTCAGGTTATTGATTAGTTATTTATTTAGAATAAAGGGTGTCGGAGTGGCGCAGTGGTCRCGCAGTTGACTACGACTCACACAGTCATTGGTTCAATTCATAGCAAAGTGGAAAAAAAATTTGTGTGGTTCTACGTGATAACCAAATCCCCAAGCTGTCGTCCAATTGCGTCATCTGGTTTCCAACTAGGTCCCACTCCACTGGGAGTGWAGACCGCACATTTCTCCTCTTGGAGGAGGGGGGAGGGGTAGTATTATGTATATAGTGATATATACATAGATAAATAGTTCAAATGATCTCCCTACTACCCACTTGTGATAAGGATTGACGAAGACCTAGATGTCGTTTCAATGAACAAATACCAAAAAAAATAAAATTAGAATAACCTTTTACGATTATTGTAAAACGTATAAGTACTTAAATGTTTTTTTTTAAATTTTTTTGTTTTTTAAAAAGCAATATTAGGTATAGACTAAACATCCGTCCAATAAATCACAGACTTCAACGTGGTCGTCCCCATGACATCTTAAATCAATAAACTAATATTTTATGTAGGTATATATGTATATGTATTTATATATCTTAGTTGTATAATTGTCAACTGCTTCGTAATGTAATAATTTTCATTTTTCTGTATATCAAAGAAAAAACATAGTTCTTACTTATACCTAACATTATCTGATTTACAAAATGTCAAAAACTATTTCTGTATCTCTAACTTTAGATGATTATTGTCAGGAAAACTTTAAATAATTAATAAAAAAAAAAAAAAATATATATATATATTTATTTTTATGAAATTCATATTATTTTACTCGTTCAATATATAAAATAATATATAACCCAAGTAAAATAATTTGTTTTTGTTATTTGCAAATATAATGTATATTATATTATTAGGTATATATAATTAATAAAAAATATTTCATCGATAGGCATAAACTATATGTTAATGCACGTACTAAATATAAATTATATTAATAAATTATTTGTATACTCATATGTATAAGATAATTATAATGTTATAAAAATTCCAATAAAATCTTAGGTAAAAGTAAAAGACATATTTGTAGGTACTTACTTAGGTTTTATGATCAACCCTATTTTTGCTACTGTGTAGGTACAGAACTCTGTTGAAATTATYGAAACACATTTTATCATCGRATCACGTGACAAGTATAAGTGTCACAAATTATTATAACAATTTAAATTATTATTACATATTATTCGCGCAGGTATATTATCATAAACGGCAGTCCGAAAGACTTCCGACACCGTATGCGCGAGCGTATGTGTGTGTATGTTTRAAGCGTCAAAACTTATTGTTTCTTAAAGTTTCGAGTGAGCTCACGGCTACCGTTATGGGCATATTATACGCACCACTCAAGTTTCATTTTATACATTTCCCAACCAATTCTCTAAATAATTAACGTTCGCGTGAACGAGAAAACGAAAACGGATGACGTCTTTGTGTGCACGATTTTTGTTCTGCAACATCGAGACAGTGAGGTAACTTSAGAGAAACTTTTTGCGTGTTATTATTATTATTGTTTACGATCATCATCAATGTATAGGTACATGATACATAATGATACGATTCTTGGATTTTCTGATTTYCAACAATTTAAATCAGTAAGTGAGTGAGTTGTATTGCGATATTAATTTATATTATATCACCCGCAGTTTGGCACGTTGTAAAACAACAGTAATAATAAGTACCTACTACCTTTAATGTTYTAAAATGAAATTATAAGCAACTAAGTACGATGTTTCAGAAAATTTCTGCTTAAAGAATAAACTTAAACAAATTCATTTCATTTTCTTTTTTTACTTATAATTAAAGCATTCTACCGTATGTTTCTAAGATTTATTCTGGAGTACGCGAGTACGCCGTTATTATTTGGGGCTTAGCTATTTGCGAATTGCGAATAGTAGAAACCTGCAGATAGAAAGAGTATAATTTAAATGTACTAGTTTTACTGCCAGGGTACCTACTGCACATTAACCACAGACTTCATGATTATGAATTTTACCTTTTACCACGCAGTAAAAAAATTTGGGGTCAAAGATCGCAAATGACACTAGTACTGTAAGTATATTATAAAGATGCTAGGCCTACCATTCCTAGCTGTTAGCTGTGTTTCTGTAATCCAAGTTTTAGGTTAGGCCTAACTTAAGATAGCTCATAAACGGCTCTATAGGTACAACACTGTCGTGTATTGTTAAGTCAATAAAATTTACAAATCCTAGCTTCCAGTCTCGAACCACTTATCTTTTTTTTTTACACTTTTGTACCACCAATTATTTTCGTAATAGACCGATATTCAGGATGAGGCGTTTACACAGCTAATAAGAAGATCAGTAGTTTTTTTTTTGTAAATACAATGTAAACAATGTCTAGTGTTAATATTTTTCTTGTATGTAAACATATTTTRTTCTRTAATTTGGGCTACGACCCGTTTTGTTATACAATAAAGTTAAAATATTTACATAAAAAATTTTATGTAAAACTTAAAGTAAGTGCATATGAATGATTTTAAAGGCCTATAAAAATATATTTTTCCTGCCATTATACTATTAGAATGACAAGATCYAGAGCGAAATAATTGTTTTAATTAAACCATTACTGCTGTGCTACAATTCCGAAAARTGGAAGTTTCCACAGCCTATCAGATTCGACGGGATCTGTTGTCCAACGTTTCTGTACTGTAATTGATACAGCAAAGAAGATAAAATCTAATTTATTTTGAAATGATTTTTTCTTCTTATTTTTTTCCAACACTTTTGGACCCACGTTAATCCACGGATGTCCTCTAGTATAATTACTGACCATTATGCTCAGAAGAAAGGATAATTTTTTTTTACCCTAGAGATTCTAGAGCTGCTAATCACTTTCAATTAATAATCGTGAAAATACAATTTCACTATAATTTTTAGGATGCACAATGGTCGTTTAAGCCATGGTTATTTTATTGTGGCTGGAAAAAAAAATAAAGGAATGTATAGTTACTCTCATATCCTGACATTAACGTAAAACTTTTGGCATTTTGTTGACGTGTGTAAGGAATATACCATAAAATGTCAACAAACGGTAAAACGTTACCTACTAAATTTCGTGATATTTATGTTATTTCAAACATAATATTATCTATATTAAAATTTGAAACTATAGTAAATACTTAAATAAACCGAAATTAATACAATCAATAATAACTTATCTAGTTCACTAATAATTATTGATCTTATACGAAAACATATTATTACTTTCATTTTACACCTACTCTAAAATCTGAACAAGAGAATGAGGTTTCGATACCATAGCTAGTGAACTTTCAAAACTTCAGGAACAACAAAACTAATTAATCCAGTAGCAATGTAGCATACTAAGAGTTCACGATATTCAAAGGTTATGAAATACCCTTTTCATTTTAAGCTGTACATATTAAATATAATATATATGATATAAGATTATAATGGCCTTAAGGGGATTTGATGCCGAACGTATTTATAAAGAAAACATACCATCCATATTTTATCCATCATAAATTAATACCGATAAAACGAATTATGTGATAAGACCTCTGAAAACATATTTGAGTTCGCTATGAAGCTTACTTGTATTCAATCATACGACTTTTGCGAATTGCGATAAGACAAAATTATCTTTATGTCTAATTTKATTTTAAAATTAATAACTGAAAAATCTTTTAATGTACTAAWKATTCGAGGTTGAAACAAAAATTAGAAATTGGGATGAATGATTTTAATGCAATTATATTCCTTAAAACGRAGTTCTTATATCTACMTGTCATATCTTAATCTTTTAAACCGGACATATCATACATGCAGACCACGGGCCGAATCCGGCCATAARCTCAATTTTTTGGGGCTCGTGACTACCAATATTAATGAACAAAAACATAAAATTATATAATTAAAAAATAAATAAATATTAATGTCATGTCACAACTATCTTAGATTCTTAGAGAATGATTTACTCGGTATATATTATTATTTTCAGATAAACTAATCGAATAAGAATTTTTTTAATTTTTATGTGMGGCCCACATAGTAAGCTTTTCAATATGTTTGGCCCACTTGATAATTTGAGTTTGACATGTTTTATGTTTATTTTAAACGAATAAAATATAAAAATGCAAAATATCTTCGTTCAGCAGAACAAATGTTGCACTTTGAGTACAGTAATTTAGTCAATTAGTGGTATCTAATTAAACCCATTATTTTAAGACAAACATAATATTTGCATAATATTTCTAAGTACTCTTCATTTTATTTAAATGCAATAATGAATAAGAGAAGTCTACATATTATACAAAAATAAATCTCATATTAATTATGTTTCACTTCCAGTTTTAATGTAAGTACAAAGATAATGACTTTAAAACAAATAARTTTAGTTCAAAGTCAGACAAAGTCATGTAGGTTTTTTTTTGGAAACTTTGAGATGAAAAATGTTCAAATTATAGTGAKTTGCAAAATAAATGACAAAACATCAGTTTAGTATGAAATGTAATAAATAGGATTGAATCATGCAATTATTTTAAAAATATCAATCATTTACTAACTTATCATATTTCTTTTTTAATT